TCAAAATAAATTTAAAAAAGTTCTTATTGATTTTATTTGTATGAACATTAATAAGATGACACATTATACTTTTTAGAACAATTAATTATTGGCTTAAAAATATATGAGCCGCGTCACGACAAAACCAACTTAGTGGGTTTGCGACCAGCATGGATCCAGACCAGCCTGCGCATTCGCGCAGTCTGATCAGGATCCATGCTGTTCGCTTTCCAACCCTATAATAAGTAGAGAAACTGATAGCGAACAGCATGGATCCTGATCAGACTGCGCGTATGCGCAGGCTGGTCTGGATCCATGCTGGTCGCAAACCCATTATGTTGGTTTTGTCGTGACGCGGCTCATATATAATTATTTCATGGATTGTTGTTATGTCTGACTCTAAAATGTAAAAACATAATTATTAATTGTAGTACAGAGCTTCAATTATAGACCGATTCAGTTTTAGTATCATTTTGTTCCATTCACCATTTCGTACCTAATGAAGCATTCAAAGAGAAACTGTTTTGGTGCAAAAATTATTAATTCCTAATACCAACACAAAGTAACCATTTAGTATTTCACACTTACATCTCTCAATAAAGTAGTTCTATGTTGGAAAAAAAACTAAGCACTTAATATTCATGAACAATTTATCTCTCAGAACAAAGCTTGTAGTGATTTTAAATTAAAAAAGTAAGAATTTAATTAAAATAATATACAATTTCAATTTCAAATTCAATGCCTGTCTTGCTCTATTTAACAATACCCACAAAACGCAAATATTAATTGAGTTTTTTTGTTGATTCAACCATTTTTGCACTTGTCTTTGTGCATAAATTAGTTTAACTATTTGTTTAAATTTACAGTATGATAAAAAAAAATAACTGTGTTTTTGCAATTCAAATCACAAACTGGATACCAAGTGGTGAATAATTGATATCTAGTTAATTATGTTATCAATAGCAATATTCGGATATTCGGGTGTTCGGGTGTTTTCAGCAATTTATTGATTTGATTAAATTAACATCCATTATCCATTTTGTATCTTAATCACATGCCAATCTACCACTTATTGTAAAAGGCTAAAAACTTAATTTATCATAAATCATTTAAACATACTTATTTTCCGTGATTTTATAATTTGTTGAGTAATTGCATAATTTACAATAAAAAGTAATTATCTTTTTTGTATATTTTAAATTTTCTGAATTTAGGAAATGTGCAGGTCATTTGACGCATGTCCTGTGATAATAGATGACGAAAATGAAAACAACTTTGTCAAGGAACTCATTCGGTCAACGACGGACCAAAGTTCGTATATCTTAAAAATTCTTAAATCATTTTCAATTTCTTTCCTCGGTTCGTTTTCTATCGGCATTCGTGATTATATTACTACGCATTTAAACTCAAACCGTATATTATTTTACAACAATCACTCAGAATTGATATCTATTTCCTAATTTTATTAACTTGAGCGTTGAGAAAGCTCGAACCACACTTTACCCACATTCGAGTCGGCTTTCAGGTGCTAACCAGTATTGATGCCATTCGATCAAATGTGGTCATGACTCCAGTAACGTTCCGTAATAACAAGGCCGTATTTAAACGTGTTAAAAAAAACTTACTGCTTAAAACCATTGTTTGACTCAGCTGCCTGCTGATCATGTGTTAATATGTATGGCTTTAAAATAACTCTGGGAATGACGACTTCGGGATCATAATTATAATCTTATTGGAGGTAAAGTATTTCTTTCAAGGGCGAAGCTTTTTGTTTAATGATATATTGGAAGAAATAGAAGCAAATATATTAGTTTATGGGATTATTAATTGTTGTTTAAACAGACGGAATGTATCATGGTTGTATTTTCTCTTTTGTACATTCATGTTTCAAATGATTCCCCATTGAGCAAAATACATCTCAATTACTGGTCATTTTAAGATCATGACTTTAAAAAAGCCCTTGTTTAATTTAAGTTGGATTTCAAGGTGTTTTTTTTTCCATGTATTTAATACCCTTTTCACTGCAAGTGATTACACAATGTAACAAGAATCATGATTGCATGCCATCGTCTTGCATGTCATCGTCTTGATTTTGTTTGACATGTGCAATTCAGTACAATGTTTGATGACTACATTAAATTTTAAGATAAAGACGATGAAAGTCTTTACGAGCCTACGTCAATTCTTTTTACTAATCAACCTAAAGGAAATGAAAATGATAAGGGTAATGTTGCAAATAGAGCGTAATGCTAGAACACACATTCGTGCACTATTATTATGTAGCTTAAAGTATGTGTTTTTAAAATCCTTTAAGTTTAAATAGACTGGAATGTTAATATATATAATTTTCTTTTAATAAAATGTCATTTGTTACTCTTAATTATCTAATATGACTTTTTTCAGATAACGACACTGCTTTCTTTACTGGGTTCGCAGACTTAATCACTGAGGGTACATGGGTAGAATACGGTACCAATAACCAAATGACCTTCCACGATTGGGGGAGCGGTGAACCAAACTTAGGAACGCTGGAAAATTGTCTGGCATTCTTTTTCCCAATGGACTTGAAATGGGTCGATATTCCTTGCGAATGGGACCTGAGAACCATATGCGAGATAGATGCATAATCGAATGTGCTAAAAATTTGATGACATTGTATTTTATATCGGTGTTTGTATACAGTCAGTCAGGTGCATTTTTTACAAGTGGCACAAACGTTTTAATGAAATCATGCGCCGACATTCTTGAACATCCTTTTATTATTCTTATTACAGGCAAGGTACTCAAACAAGATTCAGATGAGTTGATTTAATCACCCTCCTGCTAAGACAATATGTTTAAAGTAACTGCAAGGCATTCGTATTTATTTTTAACACAGTCAGATATCAAGTAATTTAAAGATTTGGTCCAACAGTTTTGCTTGTTTTGTTTGGTTGTTTTCCTTTTTTTTGGGGGGGGGGGGAGGTAGCGGGGATACGTTCATTGTATGACGTCATGACAAGTCGATCTTGTTTTACATATTTTATATTTTACTATTGCATTATGCTTATACTTTAATTCAGTCATATTTGTTACATAAACATTTACATACAAACCTTTGACATGATTTTCCTAAAGCAACAAGAATACATAACATAACTTATATTACCTGAAATACGATGAAAAATTGAAAGTTTCAATTAATATATCGTTGTAAACATAAATTGTTCGTTATTTTGTTGTTTTCATGTTTTATTAGATATATATCACAGTTTGCATATTTACAAAACAAAAAACGTGAGACATATTGTCGTTAAGTTAGTTTTCAAAGGGAGGTGGTATAAGACACTTTTCTTAAATTAATTTTCGCTGTTTCCTTGAACGGGGTCTTTCAAATAGAATTCTATTTGAAATACCCTGCCCTGAGCGTGAAAAGTCAACTCATTCACTCATTGATAAGAACTGGTTGGTTCCAAAAACCGATTTGGGAATATTTCAATGAGCTTATAGCTTCAATCACAATCTTAACTAAATTCTGTATAAACCAATCTTCAATAATTGACGTAACCGAAGTAATGTTACGTAAGTTTCAGAAAAAAAGATGAACGCTGTCATAAAGTACCGCACAACTTTTTACAGCTATAAACATTACCTGTAGCTGTGGGTTTAAAAAGGAGAAAAGTTAGGTCCCTCAAAAACACTGGTCTAAAAAGTCAAAAAGGTGAAAATTGCAGATTCATTTCGATAGTGATCATGAGAGATTATAAAAGGTGCACTAATACTCACGACCCGTAGCACTAGCGTTAGAAGATAATCTTCAATGCTAAATGCGTTAGTTGTTAATGATGCTGAGATAATAAATTATTATAAAATACTAAAATAATTTACAATCACTCAAGGTTTAATTAAATATTTTGGTCAACAAATATGATTTTGTCATCATGTATATCAATTATATATATAAAACATTTTTTATATATATCATCTGTCATGAGAAAGAATAATAAACCTATCGAGTAGCATGTTCTCATTAAATACATCACTCTAGAAAAATCACTTTCATAGAATTTTAATATTCAAAGTAAATGGCACTAACGAACAATGCATTCTATTTAGATTCCATTCATTTTAATAAAAATTGATAAACATACTACGGAAGTGCTTAAAATTTTACAAATGATAGCATAAGTGTTCCATGGACTATGTTTAAACAGACAGAAGCTATGCAAACATGCGGACATTATGTACAGAAAAAATTTTATTGTATGGCAAATCGGCTTGTTTACGTTTACAGGAAAACCACTCAGAAAGCAAATACACATAATAACGGTGACTGTACAGGATCCGGACAAGCAGACGGTTCTATAAACAATGTTCTTAATCCGACCGAGAATGTAGTCATTTAATGGAATCATGTGTAATGACGTAAACTTTACTAATATACAGTATATAAGAACACCTTAAAGCGATAGCAAAACTGGTATCGGATATTGAAACCTGTCGTGTTTTCAGAATACCGATTGTAAGTACCGATTGGAACTTATGGATAAATGAATAACGTTACCAGACAATGACCTTTACTCAACCTTTTAGCTATATGACACAGACATAAGCTGCACACATATCCCTATCCCTTAGAGGTGAAAATTACCTGTAATGTTCAATTTATAAAAAAAAAAAAGTAGGACAGTCTTTATGTATTCAAGGCAGATTAATATTTAATTCTAAACATCTTCCAATATCAATTGTTTGTCAATCACCATTATAACAGTCACTCTTTTAAAATTAAAATATATAGTCAATTAAGCTCAACTTCACAAGGAAAGAAAAAGAGCATATCTCACTTAATTTGATTTACTATCAAGTAATTTAGCCAGTTTACTTACAGTGTTACTCGTTTTGATCATAGCTTTGTACATACTAACAATATGTGTTCCTCTTGCACAATTCATGCGTTATTGTCAACTTCCTGCGGCTGTGAATATACCAATGATATTTAAATGTTTATAAAATCTAAACAATGATTGTTATTTTCCGAAATAACCCATACAAAATTGTAACATCGCCTCTCGGAAGACGTATGCGCAGTCAAGTTGAACCACTGGCCGTCTGCCAAAAGCCACAAGTTCAATTCGGCACAACTTTAACAATTCTATTTGTATTTTGTTTTGATACATTATTTTGTTCCATGTTACTGCACTTGCGGTACATGTAAGTACTAACGAAACGCAAGACCACTTGTCTTTTACATTTCCGATCAATCTTTTTTTTTATTTGGTTATTTATTTTTTCTATACTGAACACAGAGTCAATAAAACACGTCATACTAGTTGAAAGGTCATTAGAGAAATGTTTAATATTGCTCACACAAGATAAAATGAATACTCGTATAAAGCATTCTCATGAATAACGTGTTTTGTTCAAAGGTTGTCCAAAGTAATAATAAGTCTTGAACAGACAATGAAATAATTTTATTACTTTAACAAAGTTATAATTGCCTTAACACTCTTAGTAAAATACAGTTGAAAAAAACTGTTAAAACATGGCAAAAATCTTAACTAATAAATAATCGAGTATTTCGACCCAATGGAATGTGAATATAACAAAAATTCACGATAGATATTCATAACAAACTATTTTTGAACAAAAACTAAATTTAGAAATTTATAAAACTGTTTTTTGTTGTTATTGATTTTTTTGTTGTTTTTTTGTTTTTTTTGTTGTTGTTTTGTTGTTGTTTTTTTTTTTTTACAAAAACTAAATTAAAAAAACTAAAATCAAAAATATTTAGTTTTTTACTCGTTCAGTGGGGTATTTAAAACTTGCAGCTGTTATTTTAACCATGAATAATTTCGAAAAATCAAATCTAAAGAAGGAACATACTAAATATATCGAGTTGCAAACGATAGTATACACTTGGTTTTTTGTATACCATTTGCATATTTAGTATCAAAATTTACAAAAAAAAATATTGAATACACGATGGTTTACTTTTAATTAAAATTTATTACTATCAGACCTTTTAAAACTTTTACATTTCAATACAAACTCAACCATTGTAGGGTCAATGTATTTCTGAAAATTTTCATTTTGCAATTTTCAAGTTTGCCTATTTTGCGCATGTATGTAAACAACAACAACAACAATTACTTTTATTAATATCAGATTACAGACATGTAATAGCATGATTCATTTTGTTTTATATTGAAATATGGGTAAATAGATGGGGACAGATAAATACAAAGTTAATAAGTAAATAACATGTCAATCAATTTAACACAATATTTAAAACTATGTAGACCTTGTTAATATCATTATCTGTAATTTAAATGGTAAATAGGCACGTTGGGAGAATTGGGGGTACGCACGGGTAAAGCGTGATAAGAAAACAAAAATAATGTTACGAGAAATTGGATCACGTGGAAAATCGTGGATCAGGAAAGGTATTTCATTGACTAGTGGATATGTTGGGAGAATTATACCACGAGAAAAACATAGTGGAAAACGTATGTCATTGACTGGGATATTTTAAAACGGTAACAATATATATTACATGCTACATGGTATTTAAGAGATAGAGAAAATAAAAAAATATTAAATGACAATAGTAAATAAGTACGAACGATAGTGAACTGTATTATCAAAACTAAATAACAAAAAACCGTCTGCTTGAGATTACAACGGCGAAAACAAACATGGATTTAAACATGCATATGATACCTGGGTAAGTGACTGAATAATAATATTCTTACGGGACAAGTATTTCGGAAAAAAAAAATTATTATCAAGTGTAAGAAAGTACTCAGATTATTAAGGACCACTAATGATTCTGCGGACATAAGTTCCCTAAATCTTTGATAACATTTTGTGCTATTATAGAACCTTCTCGGAATATATTTCATTCTTTCATCAGTAAAAAAAGGGAAATTTAAGAAGATAGTGGAATTCGTCACCACGTCATTTAGGTGAACATAACATACACTTTCTGTCTTCATATGGTAGTGTAAACAATTTCGCCACCTGCCTGTTTCTACTGGCAATCTATTGATTACCTGTTCTATAATGGAATATTGTTAGTTCTTTTATTTGGGGGTTAATATATATTTAAATATGGTTCAAATTTAATATCAGATTTAAATAACCTGTAATTTGTTCCTTTCGAGGAGTTTGATAAATTCTCGTTGAATTTCTGTATAAACTGGTCAAGTAATGTTTCTTTTTATAATTTGCCTACACTCTTTAAAGTGAAAATTTCTGGTTGGTCCAATAGTTAGTATTTCCGGTTAAAAATCAAAGAATATTTTTTACATAATTTAACCATTTGTAATTAATTTCTGAATTCAACATAAACTCATAACATTGCCTTGAAATTTTAGACTCACTGCCCATAAGAAGTTTACACCAATAATTCATTATTCTTGTTTTAATGACTATTTCAAAGCGGATAACGACCTAGCTCACCATATAGGCATGTACATTTTGTATAGGGGGCGTACTTTTTTTGCTGTTTGTTATTTTGCGGAGGAAGTTCGGTGTGAACCCTTTCGATTAAATCCAAATTTTCAAAGCCCCAAACTTCGCAGTTATATGTTAGTATAGGTACAATTGTTTGATCGAAAAGCTTTATCTGTACGTCAATTGGTAAGTCAATGTTAGCTATACGCATATGTAGGGTATTGTAATGCCTTTTTAGCTTGAATTTATTAAACTGTTTTTAAAAAAACTACCGATGATGAAAAAAGAACGCCCAGATATTTATATTCTTTAACAATTTCTATTTTTTTCGCCACTTAAGGTAAACATGTAATTTCCAGGTCTACTGGTGCCAAAAATAATGGAATCTTAGTTTTTGCATATTAATTTGTCAATTTCCATTGTTTACAATACTGGTGAAAATCTTTTTACATGTTTTGAAAAGTTTTTTC